AAAAACAAAAATCATGACCGTGTATCTGTCCGTATTCTAGCGGAAGATTCACTACTCTCGACATCCACAAAAAACAAAAATCATGACCGTGTATCTGTCCGTATTACAAGAGTAGTGCAGCGAGGCCCAAAGCATAAAAGAGAACGCAAAAACGAAACGAAACCGGACTCACCCGAGAAAAAAACATGTCAGGCGCGTCAGAATTTTACATCGGACGTCTCACGGTTCGTGATGCAAACGATCGCGCGTCAGAATTTTACATCGGACGTCGCACGCTTCGCGATGCAAAAACACTAACGTGGACCATTGCAGATGCGAGACTCGGTGCCGCGGCCGATAAGCCTTAGTAGGGTTGTTTGATCGATTAAGATAATATATATAAAGCGAGGGCAAGCGGGACATGCTAATCATGACGATCCCACTCTTGCTGCTGACGAAGTGATCGACCTTGCCCTCACACCAGATAGTGGAGAGAAAGAGAGAGGATCCAATAATTTGCCATCTGTGGCCTGTTGCTGGCGTTCAGTTCCACCACCTTCAGACCCAGTGAGCAACCAGGGTCGGTGCTGTGTACGGTGACTTCCTAGCCAGTGTCCTGGGGCATCACCGCAGAGTGGGATTGGGTTCCCCATCATTTGTGAGGTGTCTTTAATGTTGAGTCTTCATTACATCGGCTACCGTAGTTCTACCTATGGAATTTCCTTCCTCCCTCCCTCCCTCCTCATCGGATCATCATCATTGTCATGGATTTGAAGCCTACCCCCACTGGGCACAACGGCCACCAAACGTGCACGCTGGCGCTGATCTTCTACCGCCAACTCTTCCACGCTTCCTCTTCCTGCTCCTCCAACACCTCGTCCTCCACGAGCCCCTCCTCCTCTTCCTCTGCCTTTGCCATCCCACTCCTCATTCTCCTAACCCCTCCTCCTCCTCCCTCTCCTGTTCTGCCATTCCCTTCCTCCTCCTCCGCCTCCCCCTCTTACTCCGCCACCTTCTCCTCCTCCCTCTCCTGCTCCGCCATTCCCCTCCTTCTCCTCACTATTATCCTTCTCCACCTCCCGCTCTTCCCCCTCCTGCTCTGCCATCAACCTCGTCCCCCTCCTCCCCATCATCCTTCACCACTACCTCCTCCTGCTTCTCCCTGACATCCTCCGCCATTCCTCCTCCTCCTCCCCTCCTTCTCCGCCACCTTCTCAACTCCTCTCCCTCCTGCTCCACCACCACCTGGGTGTCCTCCCGCTTGTCCTCAGCTACCTCCAGCTCCTCACACTCACCACTATTGCTGTCTCTTATACACATCTAGATGTGTATAAGAGACAGCCTCCTGCTTCTCCCTGACATCCTCCGCCATTCCTCCTCCTCCTCCCCTCCTTCTCCGCCACCTTCTCAACTCCTCTCCCTCCTGCTCCACCACCACCTGGGTGTCCTCCCGCTTGTCCTCAGCTACCTCCAGCTCCTCACACTCACCACTATTGCACTCCTTTCCATCATGGCTATGGAAACCGTCATGTAATACTTGTATATTACAAAAGACACTTGCACAAAAAGCGAGCGAGAGAGATGGGTCATTTTTGTCACCGAGGATCTCTTTCCTTGAAATACAAAACAAAAAATCGTTACAAAATGTCCACGTGTCGAGGTTCAGGCACAAATTGAGATAGAAATTAGACACAGAGAGAGAGAACGGAATCTATGAAGAAAAGAGGGAAGAAGACGATCTCAACCATCTTTCCGTCCTTCGTGGACACCATATCTGGCTTTAATCACACACAAATACATCAATCACACGTGCACATTCCCTACTCTCTCTCTCTCTCTCTCTCTCTCTCTCTCTCTCTCTCTCTCTCTCTCTCTCTCTCTCTCTCTCTCTCTCTTTCTCTCTCTCTCTTACTGCTGAGATAGCACTGTTGGCAAATAAACACACATGAGGGTCGATCCCTGTTCATCGTGACCCAGTTTGCCTCATCAACAAGTTCAATGACCAATATCCTTGACAAAGTGAACCTTGAGCCGCAGCTCACACTCAAACTTGGATTTCCTGAAATCCTAGAAGACTCCCCCCCCCAAAAAAAAAGACCCCCACGTAATATGTATTTCAGAGACTAGGGGGCGAGGGAAGAAGAAAAGTGAGAGGAGGAAGAGAGAGAAAGGTCTCCTACCTGAGCCACCTGTGTCTCCACCTGTCGCATCTCCACCTGCACAAATGAATGGATCCACTTTATAAATCTAAGATAAGGCAAATTGGGACAACTTCACCTCAGCAGTCTCTTTTACCCCACCAAGCATGGAAGAATTGTGCATCTGACTCTCATTTAACCACGACTGGTTCACATGGACTCTCCACTTTTCAGTGCATGTACCGTTACGTACACCTTCCTAATCGCCTTAATATGGTACACACGTCAAATGGCTGTTGTGCAAACAACGATCCAAAAAAAGAAGAAGAAAATAAACTACTCTTCAACGTCAATGGACAGGTACATACCAGTCGCAAAGTGGACATGCCATGGAACTTCAGTACTCTCCCTTTGATCTAAGGTTATTTCGCCATGCATGAGCCATCTGCGAGGCACAATGCCTCGGTAAGCCCTACTGGGCCCCGATATCAGCGAGGTCCGGCGCCCTAAGTGAAGGCAGGCCCGACCTAGACTATTTTGGACTACTACGCAACTGAGGGGAAATTCAGGCAGTTGCGCAGCGCCAGTTGGTTGGAAGCGCCCAGGCCCAGGCTGCCTTTTATCGCATGTAACTGAGGCAGGCCCTGGGCTGGATAGACAACATGGACCGAACACAGGCGGAGGGCAGTTGGGTGCTGGTAACCACCACAGGCCTTGGGCCTGATCTGTCTGGACTGAGGCTCAGCCTCTCGGGGCCTACCGGAAGCTTCTGGGCCGGGGCCCAGTACCGCATTACCGCACGCAGCAGCAGCCCAGTACCGCATTACGGCACGCAGCAGCAGGCCACTCCCACATAGGAAAGGGCCTGCCTCGACATTTGGCATTCGGGTACTGGCTGCATGCTGTGCAAGCGCTGCTGCACTAATGCTGGCCAGCGCTCACCCGCTCACGGGAGAGTAGGGAGAGGCAGGCAGCCATAGCCGAGCTGCGCTGCAGAGCTGGATGGGGCGCATGGTGGTCCTTGGGTGCACGTGGCATCTGTGAGTGGGGGATCGAGATTGTGAGTGATATGAGAGACATACCTGGTGCTTGAGGCGAACGGCATTGGCCGAGATCTGCTCGTACTTCGGGGAGCTGTTGATGTCACCAGCGGCATTGTAGATAGGCTAGATAGGATCTGCCATTTGTACTCTGGGCACAGAGCGCCAGATAGGATGTCGACATTGGTTCTTTGTTGATGATGATGAGACTATTCCAATATTGTCACTTATGAGCGTTCGCTGTGCTCTTATTTGGCGGAACTCGTGTTGCAATTCTGCTTTTGGTTCGAGGTCACGACTATCTGGTCACATGTGTATAATGCCGCTTGATTTCTGAAGTTCGTTATCGCTCATTTTCATTGCACATCTATCTTCAGATTCTCTCCGTCTATCATCTTGTTTTGTGAACTCCATTTCGTTGTCTATGACAGACCTGTCGGGGACTTGTCTGCCTATCCAGGTTCATGCGAATGGACAGTCCACGCAGTCTTTCCCTTATGTTCTTCTCTTTTCGTTCCCCCCCCCCCCAGATATTGAATTGATCAGAATACCCGTCCGGGAGACAATGTCCTGAAGCATTCGGATGATATTCTGGAGACTCCCAAGGGTTCAGCTTCTGCAGGGGCCCGTGACAGACCTCGCTTTTTTTCCTTCTCCCTTCACACAGAATCACGTGGAGCAGCAAGACCACAGAGATTAGGGAGATCATTGACAACACCCCAGTAGTGTGGGCTGCAGTTATGCATCTCTGTGACATTCTCATTTTTCATAGCTGCATATCAGTTCTTTTTCCCCACTTTGGACCATTTCTCGACTTATGAGTGTCATTCTTGCGCAGGGGCCATGCTAATCTTCGCTGTATCATTCCATGGCTGCATATCATTTATCAATTAGCAATGAACCATGGTAACCCCGGACCCGGACACCGGACACTTCCGGACCGTCTTCCGGACCAGTGTCTGCACCGGTCCGGACTGTCCGGTGATCCTGACATCACCGGACACCGGACATAACCGGACACCGCACTTACCTGCTTTGCACTCTGTAGTTCAGGCAGCAGAGCACGTGTCTTGCAGCAAATCAACCAGCACATTTAACTAGCAGACATGCAGAGTTG